CAGCGACTCTGAAGAGGAGGAAGTCGCGGCGCCGCGTCTTCCGCCGTCCGACGCCGTGGACAGCCGCGGCATCAGCGACGGCTACCGAGTCGATAAACGGGAGCTGTGCCGCTTCAGTGACTCGGACGGCGAGGCGGAACCAGCCGCCGCTCTGGTGCTGCCACCTGTCGCCGACCTGACGCATCTGCTGCCGGTGCGACGGCGTGCCAGGCCGCCCGGTCGTCGGCCGCCCTCCCGGCCCGGTTCGATCGTCGGCCCGCCGCCGGGCGACAGGTGCGAGGCGGCGCCAGTTGACCAGGGGAGATGCTCTCCAGCGCTGGAGCCGGACCGGTCACCCTCTGACGGCGCCGGACGCCCTCCCGCTGCCGACCGCGAGCAGCCGCCGGCCGCGTGCAGCGCGGCGGACACCACCAGCGTCGCCGCGCCGCCCGCCGTCCCGGGCTTGGCGTTCTCGCCGGCGGCGACGGCCGGGGGGCGCCGCTCGGCCGCCGCACTGGGCCTGCCCCGCCGGGTGGGCTTTCCTGCCGAGCTGTCGGCCCAGGCGGCGGCGCTGGCGCTGCGTCGGCGCCGCCCGGCGGACCCGGATGAGGTGTTCGGCGAGGTCGATTCGAACGGCTCGGACGCCGCCTGAGGGCCGGGTTTGTCGCGTCATGTCAGTGCCTGTCGCGCCACCGTATGGCGTTTGACGTTCGTCCAGGATCGGGCTGTTAGTTGTTGCACTCACTAGCTGCTGTGATGTCAAGTTACTGCTGTGACGCGTTAGGCAGGAGAGTTCTATGTTTTGTAGTCCGAAGACGTTCTTGTTAAGCTGTTACAGAGAGTCTGTGGCTGCTATAGCCTTGTGGCCGTCGGCGCGGTGTACTCAGTGCGGCGCGGCATTTCTAGCCAATTTATTTAAGCGTTATTTAGCCAACGCAGCGCCCTTAGCCAATTTTCAGAAGTTGTAAACACCTCACATATGAATGCTCAAACTTGGCTGAGGGCTTGCGGCCCTTGTTGCTGTTGGTAGTCTGGTAGGTTTGCGGTGACTCATGTCGACTTTAACTAGGCATGGAGTTACCCATTAAGAGACGTGTGGCATATCTAGTGTACGTTGAAGGAAATCTCTTGAATGTTTTCGACAATCAAAATGTTTTAGCGAATGCTATTTTATGATATGGTATTAGTAAAGTGTAATAATACATAGTAATAGTTAGGTGTGTATTTTTGAGACCCCGCTCTGACACGACAGTTCCCTAACTCCACGAGGGTTGTGACGGACTGGACCAAGACACCGTTCTCGCACGTGATCCCTCACTTGTGGGGCCGACTATTGATAAACGCCTTCTCAATCGACTGGAGTTCGTCATGCATTGACAGCATACATTTAGCTAATACCATGGATCAGATTCCACCTCTGTCGTACCAATCCGGAAATTTCCAGCGTTCGACACATAGGGAGATCGCGTGCTGGTACTGCTCCCTTGGGCGTTATTTGCCTCTCATTTGAAGCATTTCCCGTCTCCCCACGCTCATATTGGGAAATAATCATTCGACGCAGAAATTACGTAAAATTCATACTTTTATGCATACTTTCCACGTTCCGCTTATAACACTTTGATGGCTGGCGTGCTCTGCGCCCATTTGTCACCGCAGCGGTCGGTCACACTCAGCACTATCAGTGATAAGCCTTTGTGGTCATAAATGCATTGCGACTTTTTGAGCTCGTTAAGGCCGCACCGCTGTTACATTGGGCGACACTAATGTCCCGTGATAGATTTACCGATGTTTTTAATGTCGCCCACTTGGTGACGCTCCTATCGGCGATGCAGAGAGCGCTAATTGTCAGGCCCGTCCAGGGCTACATTAGCGCGATTACCTGACTCGCGCGCGAGCCGCGCCGCCCACCGCAGATCGATCGCGCTGGAAGCGGCGCGCCGCGCTGGGCCGGCCGCGGCGCGCCATTCATCAGAGGCCGCGCCGCTTTTGTCGCCACGCCACCGTGTTTGCCACCAGCCGGCGTATCTACCGCTAAATCATCGAGCCCCGGCGTGCCTTCGCTATTAATTGTGACCGAGCAAACAGCGGCACCCGGCGGTGCGCTGCCGCGCCACGGCATGTGATTACCGTCAAGTGCGCCACAATGGTCGGCCGCGCGCCGGTGATTTAGGAGCGGCCATATACTGGCCGGTGTCCGTGGACGGACGCCCCCCGCCCGCCCCGTAATGAAGTGGTGCTTCGCTAGCAGACAAGCAGTCAACAGGGCGGCTGGCAGCCGGTGGCGCCCGTGACCAGCGCCGACCTGCCCTCGACAAAGTGGTGGCGACACGCGAGCGGGGCGACGCCTGCGTCCTCTGCACACAGCCGGCCGGTCGCCGCCGCGCCCGCGTGACGTTTGGCGGCCAGCCGTCTCAAATGCGTGCCGAAACGGATTACGCTGCTGCCCATGTTTACTTTGCACCTGCGGGGTTTGGACTGACGCTGAAGGTGTCTGCAGTCAAACAAACGCCGCGCGACAACTGACGCGAAGCGCACGCCCTGTCGTGCGGCGTTGCTGGCACGCCATCTGTCACCGCCTGACGGATGGCGGGAGATGCGGACGTCCCTAGTATAGGTGTTCGCCTACTTTTTAAAAAAACTTTCACCTTTTCTTCATCCGATGGGATCACTTAGGACGCCATCGATCTAGATAATCATCCCAATGGTGTGGTCATCCCAAGCAAAGCGCTATTCTAACACAGTAGATGTGTTTTTTAACATTAAGTCCGGTATTTTCTCAGGATTGATTTCTGTGAACAAAGCGCGTGCTTAACAGCGTTTGTCACATGAGCGCTTACCCCACTATCCAGCTGCGAAATTCAAAGTCAGCGCTACAATACTGTGGCGAATGTTTAACGTGCTGTAATGATGTGTACGGTCCGTCTTACCCTTTGACGT